TGTGCAAGTCTTGCCACCTATGCTCTGCCTCTCTTTTTCTCTCTATAACCTTTGGTTATAGAAAAGGCTTTGAAGAAAATAATTTATATAGATAGAAAGTAACTGCCAGGTAAGTTTTGTGCAGGATACAGAATAATTATTTTCATGTTACTCATTGAAATTATGTGAATAATAGGTATCAAATAAGCATAATGTATGAGTCTGCAGAAAATCTTTCAGTTGAAGTAGTACGGCTCTAGACATGTCACAGTGTTTTAGCAAAAACTAAAATTAGAGGGGGAAAAAGAAAAAAAGAAAAGAAAAAGGGGCCAGTCCCTTTGAAATCCAGGGTAGAAGGGTTCATTGGTAGAAGTGAGCGTTGGGGTAGCAGATACACACATCAGAATTACTGCATCTGCGTGAGGGACAGGGAGGAGCCACACTCTTCATGTTCCCAGGAGCAGGTAAACCTGCTTTGATCAAGTCTTGTACTAAAACTTTTCCTGATTGTTCCTGTTCAGCAGTGCGTAGATTTTGAACAACAGTCTTCCCAAGTGGCTGCTTATTGGCATAAGGTGGAAAGTAACTCATTCTCTAGAATTTGTGCATTATTTCAGTCTTGCAGGGATTTGGGAGTAATCAATTTACTGTCACTCGATAACGAATTTTGCTGACAAACTTTGTAACGTGGTCTCCCACTATTTGGACAGACTGTATTATCACCAGGCATATAGTTCCAGCATTTTTTTTTTTTCAGGAGACAAAGATAAAATTATTTTACCGGAATCACTACAAATCTCTGGAGAAAACACCACATACTTTCCTTGCAGGGTGATGAAAGCTTACATGGTGATGCCGGCTGCAGTGTCTTATCAGAAGAGATCAGAAATAGACCGAAACTTTCAGTTGTACACAGTAATGTTAGTAAATTCACTACTGATAGAATGGGACAGGAAACTTCTTTTTATGTCCAATGCAAATGCTAGGGATTTCAAATTAAATTTGTTTATTTACTACAGGGTTGAACATTGAAATTTTTTGTTAAAAGTTGTTTTTTAACTAGTTCAAGTCAATTGACTCATGTTTATGTAATTTAAACCCACATTATTTCAAAGAATTTTAAAACCATAATTAGATTTATTTTTGAAATAAAAGTTGTTTAAACTAGAAGACGTTCTTTGAAATGGAGAAAAACAGTCTAAAAAATAAAAATTGTTGGAAGCAGAAATATTAAAAGTTCTGTTCGATATTGACAAATGGGTTTCAACAGACAAAAACTTTACTTAAAAACTGCCCGCCCATTTTATTATGGATAGAAACACAACTCTGGTAGGTCTTTTCCAGTGCAGTGGACTACAGGAGGATGTCTCAACATTATTTGTTGCCTCAAAACATGTAATAAACTATCAGATTTGCAGTAACTAGGTTCTGCAGCACTGTTCTGCTATAATTTAGAATTTTTTAGCAAACTGCAGAGTTGAGCAACGATATATTTGTGTGTATACATAACTATATAGCTAATTTTATTGGACAGATGCTTTCACCTTATATATACAAGCTTATCTGTAAAGGGGATCACAGTTCACAGTTGATGTAATCTCCAGTTGTCGCTGGCAAAATAGGTAAGGTTTTATACAGCCTTGAAGATGACTTCACGATAATTTAGGATAGTGACTACCTGTCTTGAAAAAGAGATTTTTCTGATCTGTGACATTTTTCTTCTCAGTTTTTTGTTGGTTTTTTTTTTTAAAAGGTGGATCTTAATAATTCCTTTTGGAATAGATAGCAATCAACAGACAGGCTCCATGCGAAGGCCTTTTTCCCTAAATAGCATAAAGAATTGTTTTCTGCAAAAGATCTCACCACTTGGTCAAGCAACAGATGCTCATTTCTGCACCTAGGAGCTTGTGCTGTGCTCTCTGCCGTACCGTCTCCTCCTTCAGCATTTGGCAGGGTGCCTGCCGGGGCTCTGCCTGGCTCTGCTCCCAAGCCCAGATGCTATCAGATACCCCTCCAAATCCAGTGTCGCCTTTATAGACCTCTGTGTTCCGATGTAAGCAGTCGGGCTCTACCTCGTCCCCGAATGCTCTTCAGATCTCTTGAACTGTCTGGTTACTTAAGGTATGCAGCATTATTCCAAGATTTGCAGTAGTCCCCATTCTATTTAGAAGAGTGAATATGTCAGTTCAAGAGGTAAGTTATTTAAATAGCTAATGCATTTGAGAAATGCAGTCACTGTTGAAACAGTAAAAAAGGCAAAAAGAGAATTTGCCAGAAAGTGTGCAATTTTTAATATGAAATCCTTAATTATCTTACCAGTATTTGCTTAAAGGCAGAGTTGGCAGAGTATTAAAATGTCACACAGTTTGAAGAGCAACAGAATCCCATAGCTGCTTGTATTACAGGCTGAATACAACAGGAAACTATAAAACATATTCATGCCATACTAAAATGTTTGGAAACCTACTGCAGCAGCATAGATGGAAATGTTTAAATAAGATGTTACATTAAGATGTGATTAAATAGAAAAGCAAGGAACAGTACAGCAAAACCTTGATGTGTAAGTAATCGAATCTTTACCTTTCCTGCTAGAAATGCTAAAATTTAGTAGACTTTTTTTAATTACAAATGTTAAATAGATGCCAGTCTGAGTGCCACACTAAAACATAGATTGTAAAATGAGAGAGTTAATAAAACTTCAGATGTTTTTAAGGAATTATCCACTTCCTCTGTAAAAGTGGGAACTAAAATATAACACAGACATATGCATAAGATAGGAAAATATTTCTTCATGCAAATAGTATAGTCATCTTAATTCATAATTTAAGAATGCCTATTAAGAGGAGGAGGAGGCAGCTGTATACGTTGGGGGATATCCTGTATAACTGTATGCTCAGCTTTATTTCAGTCTGTGATTGAAATACATGAAATGCTAATTTTTATATAGGTAGTTGCGGTTTGAAATTTATATACTATGTACAATAGTATGTGGACATGCTAATTAGTAATTCCACGTCCATTTTGAGTAAAAGAGCAAAAACCATGATACTGAGCTTGACTGCGCTATCAGTAGTGTTAGTTAAACTACAGAGAGAGATAATATGGAAATAAAACTCATAAATCCCACTGTGTAGAAGAGGGATAAGATACTCAATTATTTCTTCTCCCAAATTAATTAATTCTTAGTAACAACACAGTAATTATTAAAATAGCCATTATTATAAGTCTAAAATGAGAGTAATTGCAGAGGTTTGATGTAAAGCTAAAAACCGAGATGTTAATCTGAAACGAAGAGTTTAAATACGGAATTATGATATACTTGGCTTTCTGTAGTGTAGCTGTCAGGCTCGGGCAGTTCGCTGGTCAATAGTGACATTCTGTGTGTCAGTGAACAGAGTCTCCTGATACCTTAACCTGCAGTTCACACATTACTGAAGCTCCAACTGTCGAACATTCAAGTCCCTTGGTACTACTGCAGCTTCCAGAATCTCCTGACTGGCTCATGTTTCATTCTTTGGCAATTTGCTCTAATGATATCCCTCAGGAGCTTTCAGACCCTCTTCTTTTCCATATTTAATCGTGTTATATTAATCTGAGTGCTGAGCAAACTATGCTGCACAAATTGTAATTGTCTGTGATTTCTGATGCAATGGTCTTATAATTTTTTTTTTTTTCATTTTTAGTGTAAAAATACATGTACAAAATTACAGTATAATTTTTATTTACAAGTCTAAATGTCCAAGACAGCTAGGGTGTGAAAGCTTTAACTGCTGATCTGTTCCACAAAGAGGGTTTTTTTCCCCCTGTAAAATCCGTAATGTTTTAGCACTTGCTGTATGGACAGGATTTACATTTTATTTTTAGCTCTTCGTTTTGTTACTGTAAAATTACATGTCTAATAAACAGCACTATTACCAAGTTAACCTCAGATAGTAATTTTGTTGTAATAGAAAACATTAGGACAGTCTTGTCTTTTTCCGTAAGCTTGGTGTCTTCTACGTGGGGCATTCCCTTTTTTTAATTTTTTAAATTTTATTTTATGGGGTTTGTAGTGTTTTATTTGCTGGATATAGGCTACCTCATTTTGAACAGTCTTGATGTTTTCTACTTTCTGTTGTAACTCTGTGGCTGCATAATCAAATAAATAAATTTGAGTGACTCACCTATAGCAAAGTGGTATTTGATATATCAAATTTGAATTCTTTCGGTGTTGCAGATTATTTTGTTCACTCGAGGAGTGAACTAGACCATGTTTCTAATCAATTCCATAGATTGTTTTTGTGGGGTGGGGTGGGTGGGTTTTTTTTGTGTTGGTTTTTTGTTTGTTCGCTTGTTTTAGAAAAACACGTTTTGAATGGTAAGCAGATTGTAACACCACCTTTCTTGGTCAAGGAGTCCTTCGTTTTCTGGTGATGCTGGTGCCGGACTTGCCAGTCCCTGCTTTGGGAAGGGAGTTTTGGAAAATTGTAATAAAGTTGCTTTGCTGTCATAGGGAATATTCACCAGATTTTTTTAAAGGTGGTTTGGAAATCAAGATAGTGACACAAACAGCAATTAATCCTGCTCCTGAGTTTAATGCTCTGCTGCGGCTTCATGCATGTTCAGATCAATTCCAGTTGTTCCAAATAGCAGAAACGTGGACCAAAAAACTCCCCTGAGTCTTTCCTGCTCAGCGGAGCTGAGTGCAGCTGGGGTACGCTCGAGTTTTCTGTGTTCTTGGCAGTACTCACGTTTGATAAACATCAAGTAGTGCATGTTTATTTTCTTGTTTTCAAGGAAATAGCTGAGCAGGGCTAACTTTTAATTGACTCGTTAGTCTGACTTCTTGCAAACGTTGTACTTGTATACGTATGTCAGCGTTCTTCATAGATGTATTTAAGCAATTAAAAGTAATTAAAAAATGCTATAATAGGTGGTTTGGGGAGGTTAAGATTCTTACGTGTCTAAAAGTTAATTTAAGGTTTTGTATTTTCTTTTTATTCATATTTTTTGTTGCCAATTCTGTGTGTGTTTATTTTTAGTTAACTGCTTGTGTTCATGCATCAGCTGCATTGTTATATCCAATGTATTGGCAACACATTTACATCCCAGTGCTTCCTCCACATCTTCTGGACTACTGCTGGTAAGACAGCTAACCTGTTATCCCCATTTCTAAGATTCTTACCTGTCTTGTAATTCTAAGTAACTGATGAAAACACTAATTACTTATGTGACTAAATATACAGGATCCAGTTTATGAAAGCACTTAAGCCAATGCTTAAATGATGACTTGAATAGAGATATTTCAGCATGCCTTTACGTGGTGTTTGAATTTGGTACCTTGAATTACAGTGCTGATTACGTTCAATGCAGCATTTAGAACTATGTTTATAATAACTGTTCCTGTTTTATTTTTAGAGAATGCATTCAGTAATTTAAATGCGGCTGTGTTACAGTTTTCTTTTATTTGGCATTTATTTTAACTTGAGATAAATGATACTGATAGAAGCATTCAGAAAAAAACTGATCAGTTTTTCCAGAATCAAACGTTAGTAGGCATCAATGTCTTCCTTAGGTTTAATATGATTTAATATTTGTATTTTAGACTCAGCTAGGTTCAGGATCCTATCCAACACCTTCCCAAAAGAGCTTAAAATCTCCTTTTGGTACTTCCAAAATTTTCATTATAAGAATTCTGCTTCTGATGTGTTTTTGTTCAAATGACAGACTTCGTGGTTTTGGCAAATTTTTAAGTTGAACAAGGAAGAATGACTTTTTGAGTCACTTCTGATCCTTCCAGGGATGATGTTTCCACATGTCTGTGTTTTAAGATTTCAGGCTAAGAAGAGATCTACCTTCTTTTATTCATAGTAGTGCCAGAGATACCAAATGAGAGTTTCCATTAAAGCACCTAAAACAGGAGTATCCATCCCTGGAGACTTTCACTTTAACTAGACCCTATGGGTCTGTGGTGGAAAAATGAACCATTTAAAGCCATTTTAGAGATCAGGAATTGTTATTGTATATAAAACCCGAGTCCAAGCCAGATGCCTACCAACATAAATCTGTGTTTCTGTTACTAATGTTTTTCTTCACAGAAATAAATTATGCTTGTATGTTTGCTGGACTTTGTTTTGTTTTTCTTCTGGAACCTATAAATATTGATGTTCCATTGAACTCCACTCAGTCTGTTGAACTTCTTGTTTTTAAAGAAATTCTCATTATGTTTCCTTAAGTCTCTTTGATAGTTTTTCCTCAAGTTCACAATATTTGCCCATAGTATATCTTTTTCTGTGATAGTTCCTATACTTCATATGTATATTATTTATTGTTTTTGAAAGGAAATCAAATACTCTCCCACTCCTCCCTTTACTTTCAACTATAGCTAAGCCTTTCATATTTACTGATAGTTTTCTTTTGAAGAAACTCTGTCCTAATTGTTTTTCGTCCTGGCTTTGATAAAATGCACCAAGATGGGGGTAGAGCTTGGATGTATTTGTTTAGTTTTTGTATTACTTGAGCTTACTGCCAGAGGCTTTGTAATTTCTTCAGTATCATCCATAAATGCTGTTCTCAGAAGGTAGATCAGCACCTTTATTCAAGCTGTACCCTACAGAGTGCATCCTGAATACTAGAAGATTTTTTTTATTTCCTCTCCTAAGCACAGATAATGTTTCCCGAAATAATAATGTTAGATGCTGTACACAGCTTCTTGTGATGATGATAATAGTTGAGATTCTAGGTCATAATGGCGTGACCTGAGAATTTTTTTTACTCATTAAAAAGAAGCATGGAGTTTCTTAAACTTGTGAAACTCATTTATATCCCTTTTTCTTTTCCACAGTAGTACAATAGAGTGTGGGGGGGGAAGTTTCCCTTTTTTTAGAGATGTTCAAATGGAAGCACGAAGTTCATGAAAGGAAGTGCACAACTGATGAATTTACCACAGTAACTGTAATTCAGACCTTTTAACTCAGATTTTTGTTCATTTACATTTCTCTGTCTGCTCATGTCTGGTTTGAATGGTTCTTTTGTGAGGCAGGTTGGAATAGTGTAATAAAAACACATAAAATACTTAGCTTTCCTTATGTTTTGGCGTATTAACAGTGAATAAATATTTTCCTCATAGGTATATGATATATCAAATTATGAAATCTTGATGAATTCATAAGGTCAAAGTTTATGCCAGACCTAGTGTGAAGTCCAAGAGGGTCATGTCAATTTAAAATTAATAAAATAATTTTCTAATTCTTTTTTGTATTTTCATTTTGGTAGAGCGAAGTTCTTTTTATAAAAGTGCCTTTTTTCCTTTTAGCTTAACATGTATTTTCATAGCTAGAAACCACATTGTCATTGCTTCACTTGGACTTTGTTGGGATGTCTCCCATGAACTCTCATTTTCTTAGGGTTTTTCTGAAATGGTATTCAAATAAATGAAGTAGGGAAATATCAGTTTGATAATTTTGTTCGTTCCAAGGGAGTAAGACCGCTTCTAAACAAAGATAAAATACATTTAAATCTACTAGTTTAAATATAGGCCCTGATCCTGCAACCTTTCTGTGCATGATAATCATCCAACGTATTTTGAGAGAAATCCACAATTTTTTTTTTTTTCAATTGGACTATATATCTTCAAAATTTCATGAAGATAAATGATATAATTCTGTGGGGATTAGAATTTGATAAATTACATAAACTGCTCAGCTGGTACATTTTGTGGGCATGAAAAAAGAAAAATGTATCTTTGAGTAAAACAGATCTATATTAAAAAAATTATTTAAATTCTTCCACTTGCCTTTTTAATCAAAAAGCCTCTTAGGTTCTATCAGGCAACCTGATACACAGACTGGGTTTAGACATAATGTAACGGATGTTCTTAAAGTAGTCCAAGCCCACCGGTACTGAGCATCGGTGTGGACTGTAATGCTGTCAGGCTTGGCCAGGTTACGAGAACTTGCAAGGTTCAGTGTGTGAACGTACTGTGTCTTTATTTACTTCAGGATGCTTTTTTCCCCCCACGTAGCTTATCTTGGCCTCGAATTCCATTACGAGAACTCCAATGTGAGAATTGGAACAACCATCCAAAAAAGAAAAGATAATAAATTTCTTTTTCTAAAAGATAGCAGAATATTAAGCACTGAAAGTAATTTCCATTTTAGCTCAAGAGAAAGAAAACACGGCATAGTTACTAAAAAATTGAATTTTCTGAATATTTTTAAGACTTTGTTTCTTTTCTACATTTAAGTAGGCAAAAAGATATTGTTGTACTTAGCCCAGTAGGTAGCTGGCTTTCAAGAAAGCTTTTACAAAAATTATGTTTGAAAATTGATATAGTAATTATATTTGAATAAAATTAATTTTTGTAAAGGAGAAAGCTATTTTCATCAAATTTCTGTGTAATTTCTTGGCAAACTAAGTCCCTGGTAAAAGAATGCATGACAGTATTTTGTCTGTGGATGATAAAGCATCTGTTCTACTGATGCTCTGCTAAGAATATAATGCAATTAGAAAATTCAAGTTACAATTGCAACATGTCTTTTTATGAGATTTGGTCTCTTCTGAATTGGGATATATGCATCCCTGTTTTTGTGAGAATGGACAATTATTTTCCAATTAACGTGCATGTTTTGCATAACAGTAATTATTTTAGGCAATGATACTGTAGATTAATAACATTTTTTGGTAATAACATGCATAAGCAAGAGAAAAACTATATAGCAGCTCCCAGTAGTATCATAGTAAGCAATTTCATGTACATATTACAAACCTCTGCTGTTAAGGCTTCAGAATCCAGCAGTAATAAAATTCATTCTTTGCTGAAAATGATCAAATTGACTTCCCATACCTGCAAATTTTATTTCATGCATTTTCAAGATGTGTTTATCTAATTAGCTTTGTACCTTTATTCTGTTAACTTCTCAAAATTGAAATGAGGTAGCTGTTGCTTTGTTCTATAGGAAAGAGCTACACACTACCCTTTTTAATGACGGACTTATTAATGGAGCAAATCATCAGCGATTTTAAGTCAGTACAGGCCTGGTGAAGCTGCTAGAACAGTGTCGTGTACAAGAAAACAAGTGTGCATAAAATGCATACATGATACTGCGCTTGTTTTCACCGTAGTTTCTTCAGTTCACGTTATTTGTAACGCTAAGATAACTCTGATGCGATGAACCTGAGGATCTATTTTGCTGCATATTCAGCAGAAGAATCCTCAGTTACATGTCAGTCATAGTCATTCTCATTGGCTTGGTTAAATATGTTACACAGTATAAAACGTTCTTAAAATTATAGAGTGTTTTAAAGCTGTCTGATTCCTCACTGAATATAAATGCGTGTCTGCTCTGGCGGGGCACCCATTTATGATTCCATGTAACTTGTGTTCAGTCCACAGAGGCATAAGGCCTTAGCCTGGATGAAGTTGTCAGGAGGTACTAAAATTTTTCAGTATTGGGCTAAGAAAAAGATGTGTGGGGACATAGGGGTCTCCATTTCCCCTTTTGGAAGCCCCATTGCCTAGAAACCTTAAGCCATGACAGTTTGCAGTCTCAGCAAACCTGTATTTTGATAGTATAAACATGATGAAAGCTTGTTTTGGCCTCAGTCAGTCTGGGTTTTGGGTGTTTTTTTGTTTGGTGTGGGGTTTTTTTTGTTTGTTTTGTTTGTTTTTTTAATCGATCCTCTCCTGTGGGACATTGTTAATGAGAGCAATTGGCTAATCCATAGCGTGTACAGATTTTTCTAAAACTGGCTGCAGTCACAGGCAGGTGAGAATTGCTACTTTTGCTCCCAGAGTTGGGACCGAATTGATGTGGCCATGTGAACTGATGCAGTGAAGCCTCTCCCCGGGCCTCAGGACGTCAATTGCCAATCAGTCAGTGCCAGTGGCTCAGATCTGTGATCGAATTAATACAATGGGAGAAATTATTGTATGTCAGCTATCTGTGTAAATTCATATAAGTCATCTTACCTTCCATTTATTTTTCAGAGATTATTTTTATTTAGTTTTTTTTCTCTCTACTCCCGTAGTATTTCTTTTCCCACGGAGTTGCTTAAACCAGCCTATCTATTGCTCGCTTCTCTGGAGTGGATATTTTTAGTAATCTTGCAGGACCCAAAAGTGTTGTGGGGTTTTTTTTGTTTGTTTTGTTTGTTTTTTTAATCGATCCTCTCCTGTGGGACATTGTTAATGAGAGCAATTGGCTAATCCATAGCGTGTACAGATTTTTCTAAAACTGGCTGCAGTCACAGGCAGGTGAGAATTGCTACTTTTGCTCCCAGAGTTGGGACCGAATTGATGTGGCCATGTGAACTGATGCAGTGAAGCCTCTCCCCGGGCCTCAGGACGTCAATTGCCAATCAGTCAGTGCCAGTGGCTCAGATCTGTGATCGAATTAATACAATGGGAGAAATTATTGTATGTCAGCTATCTGTGTAAATTCATATAAGTCATCTTACCTTCCATTTATTTTTCAGAGATTATTTTTATTTAGTTTTTTTTCTCTCTACTCCCGTAGTATTTCTTTTCCCACGGAGTTGCTTAAACCAGCCTATCTATTGCTCGCTTCTCTGGAGTGGATATTTTTAGTAATCTTGCAGTACCCAAAAGTGTGATGGTCATTGGATGGTTTTTCCCTTCAGCGCTGCATACTGAGTATATTCTTTGTCAGTTGTTGCCAGAACACATTCACTAGAGGAAGGAACAGAAGATTATAGGAAACCATGTGTCCTGGCTTTGGCTGGAATAGAGTTAATTTTCTTCCTAGTAGCTGGTACAGTGCTGTGTTTTGGATTTAGCATGAGGATAATGTTGATAACACACCGATGTTTTAGTTGTTGCTGAGCAGTGCTTACACTAGTCAAGGACTTCAGCTTCCCAACCCAAACTGGCCAAAGGGACATTCCATACCATGGGACATCATGCTCAGTACATAAACTGGGGGAAAGCTGGCTGGGGGGGCAGTGATTGCTGCTTGGGGACGGGCTGGGCATTGGTCAGCAGGTGGTGAGCAATTGCATTGTGCATCACATTTTATATATTCTTTTATCATCATCATTATTATTTTCTCTTCCTTTGCTGTCCTATTAAACTGTCTTTATCTCAACCCACAGGTTTTACTTTTTTTCCCCCCGATTCTCTCCCCCATCCCACAGGGGGTGGGAGGGTGAGTGGCTGTGTGGTACTTAGTTGACGACTGGGGTTAAACCACGACACCATGATAAATTAGCCTGACTAATTCAGTTTCTTGCTTGCATGCTGCAAGAGGTCGCACTCCAGAGGCTTTGTGTGGATATTTGTTTTATTTTGAGAATATAGTTCCTTGTCTTACTCAAATTGGAAATGAGAAGTTTACTATCTTGCGTTAAATAGGATATTATACAGCTTCCAAATGCCCACCAAGGAAGGGTTTCAGAAGCACATTCAGAACCAAAACTGGCGTTTGTGATGATGTTTGTGTTGCAGTGTGGTGATGTTAAATGGTACCATATTCTCCAGAATGGTGTTTTAAAACCATTGTCATGCTAGAGACACACCACTTTTGGAACATCCGCTAGGTTAGCTCTGCCATACAGTATGGTTGGTTATTGTAACTAGGTATGGCAAGCAGGTTAGCAAGCCTTACACGTCTTCTCGCTCATACTTCCATAGTTAGGAACAGTGTCCTTTATTTTGTGGTCATCTTTACTGCAGAGTGAAAAAAAAAAAAAAATTTCCCTTGTCTAGTAAAAATTTCAGTAGCAACTGTGTAAATTTAATACAGGCTTAAACAGTGAATGTTAACTAGGGACTGTATGTGCCAAGACTTCAAATTTTTTTTGCTCCACAAATGTTGTAGTAGTTGGTACTGAAAACAATAATTTGACTTTTTCCACTTTTTTTCTTCAGTGCACCGATGCCTTATCTAATTGGCGTCCACTTAAGCTTAATAGAGGTAAGTTTACTATACACTTCTGCATACTGGTAAGCATGAGGTGTGTGTGCCATAAATGGTAATTTTAATAGAAATGCTTCAGAAAGAATCCCTGTTTATTAGCAGGGAATTACAAAATTTAAGCTTCAGATGCTTTACAAAGTAAAAAATGTCCCTCCTTTGAAATCTTACTTTTGAAGTGTTTTATGGAGACACATAAGCTCTACATCATGATTTGTTTCTGTGTCTATTTAACAGCTCAATGATAGCTTTTTTCCTGCCTTTTTTAGTGGTTCAGCAACAGATTTTCCCAATAATAAGAACAGTTAAAATTTATTTTGGAATCGCCATCAATCAGAATTCAGCATCGTTCTGATTTCCCAGATGATTTACGTGCCTGTCCCTCTGAAAATCTGAGTCTAACATTCATCCTATAACATTCATAACTCTTAATTTAGAAATGAGTATTTTTTGCCAAAAAACGGGAGGTAGCCGTTTCAGATTTAAACATACAACAAAAGAATAGAACTCACCGAAGCGGTAAGCAATAGCTGGGTCATAAATAGCTTTGCCTCTTTCCATAAGCATTTGATGACACCGTTAAGCCTTCATGTGTAGTCTGATTATCATGCAGAGTAGGTAATTGATTTGGGAACTTTATTTGATTTACAGTTTGCTAAAGCAGTTTCTAAGGACCAATTCACATTTGCTAAGCTGATGAGGTGGGTTCTCCCCCAGTCTGAGCCACTAGCACTTTTGTGTTTCCAAAAAAGAGCTGCCTTCTTAACTCTAGGCGTAGCCTTCTGTTCTCTCAAATCAAGTTCTTATGATCTGCATACATTGATCGTAATATCTTGACTAGGATCTTTTTCCTTATTCCATCAGAAAATAATGGAACAGGAAGGCTTGCTCTGAAAAATAAGTCCCTCAACTCCTTCTGGAATGATTTCCTGGACCGCGCTATTATGTATTATTGTAGGACCATATAGAAAAGAGTTCTATCATTTTTTCCTGAAAGGAACAAATTGCTTAATTCTTAGCTGATAATCAAGTCCATTGATGAAAGATTGTTTCATCCATTCTTCTATAATACTAGTAGACATCACATGCCTGGGACTTAAATAAATCTGCAAATAATTACTTAGTTTTCTCTGTTTTTCATCTGATTATATGATTAACATCCTATCTTTCACAAATATCGGAGAATGAAACATTGTTATATGTATAGTTCCAATATATTTAACTGTTTTGTGTAAATCATGGTTTTCAGAAATTCATTTCTTGAATATGCTTGTATTTCAGAGATTATTAATGTAACCTTACTGTTTGATGAAGAGGGAGTGTTTTTAAAAGCTACTCTGAATCCTGCATCTAATTCACTAATCCTACATCTAAAGCTCAAAACGTTGGCTTTGCCATTATTGTCCTTTGTAAAATCATCGTTTCTAATCTAGCACATTATACAGGAGGATGCCATAGTAAAATGCTTTTCTACTATTTTTTTTCCCTCTTAACAGAGAGTAAAAAATAGATCACTGGAGGATGTGGTTTTGCTAAATGTTGACACAAACACTCTAGAAACCCCTTTTAATGACCTGAACAACCTACCTGGTGAAGTGGTGAGTCTTACAGATATTTCATTCCTTCTTTCTTGTATAGATGCTTAAATTACTAGTAGTTATTTTTGCCTGGTTTTGCTAACTGCTATGAAAGGAATAAGGGGGTGAAAAGCACCAAGTGTAGACCCCTGTATTTGAGATTTTTACCTTTTTGACAGTTGAGGAGATGTTGAATGGAACATCATATTCCTTATTGTAAAAGTAGGATCATAATTATAAAGCTAGCTGCATTCATTAGGCATAGCTGCTTTAAACGCAAGAGTCTCTTCATCTCATCTTAATCATTATATTACAAAGTAGGCATTTCTGTCTGCCTAGTGGCATGTCTTGCAAAAGAACGAGAGAGTTTTTGAAGGCAAAAAGAAGAAGGGGGCCAATTATCGGCTTCTGCTTCCCTGCCACCTGCCAGCGCTTTCCTTTTAATTAATGATCTGATGGCACTGGTCAATATAATAAGAAATGCTTGTACAGTTGGGGTCAGAAAATTCAGGCTTTGATCTTCTTCAAGTTTCTGAAACATTTATTTGTTTTCTCTAAATTATTTCAGTTTTATTTTAATCTCTTCTATCCTGCTGAGGGCTGCGTGAATGAAAACCTATACTGTTTGTCATTTGCTTTGGCAGAGCAAAGACTGCTTACTTAGAATTCTATTTGTAAATTAAACTGCAAACCCAGTTTGTCATAAAGACATCTGATCCTTTTGAAATGACAAAAACTGTCTTTTGTCTGTAAAGGATGATAAATTAAGTGCCAGTTCTTTTTTTTTTTTCTTATTGCCTATAGGGGAACATATTCTGTATAACATTTTAAATAGTCACAAAATTCACTTACCTTGTTTTTCCCAATTGAGTTCTAAAAGAATATCATTGTGAAACCACTGTTTCGATTATTTAGTTATAGATGCTCAAGCTATCACAAGTGGTTGGCAGCACAAAGAATTTATATCAAAATGTGAAATCAAAGAGTTACATTTTCTGAAATTGTAAATCATAAAAACAAACTGTCTTAATCAAAGTAAGGTGCTGTAGTGACATACTGTGTCTTGTTTTTGTTGGTAATTTGTATATATTTGGTACAATAGAAATAAAACTCTTGATGATTATATTAATGTCAGTTCCCTTTGTTAATGATGTAAAAATCTAGACTTTTTATAGATCATCTGGTCAGTCTTTCTTTTTACTCAGTATCAACTATAGTTCAGAAATGTAAAAGACTATCTAAAAATTACTCTGATGTTTTGTGATTTTACGTTAGTGTATGAAGTAGTATACACACACACGTATATACAGTAATTTTGACTGTACTCTATCGTTCAAGAGTATAACAAGTTAAGTAAAAAATGAGTCATTTTCTGGTGTGTCAGTAATTTTAACTGACCTTGCATTCAGTGAATTAGGTTGAGGTTATAATGTCATGGAGGTACATACCTCCTGACAAATAATAGCTAGATGTAGAATTTAGAATTAGGCATCATCGTCCATAAGATACTGGAGTTGTAGCTGGAGGTCCTTCGAACAGTAAAAATGGATATTTGTGCAATGAGAGGGGCTTCTCATATATTTTACGGATGCATATCAAAATGATCTCTAAATGAGTAGGCTAGCATGAAGAAAATAGGGATACAGATCTTCATACTTTTAGAAGTATATTCTCCCCCAGGATATATGCATGTTACTATTATTAATGTTAATGAAGGTTGTCCAAGTGTACAGACCATACAATAGACTTAAAATATTTCATTCCATATCTAGTAGAGAACAAAACAGAACAACTATGTTTTATGCAAAATATACTTGCAGAATTTGAGGATTTTATAATGAAGCTTTTAATCTGAATATTCCCATCTACTTCAATGTGTAAAGCACTTTAATTAAAACAATTTAATGGAAAACATATACGATTATACTTGGAAAACCTGGAAACAAAAGGCACAGACAACGTCTGTGTTTGGCTCATAAAATGAGAAAATGCTTGTCCGTCTTTGGCATGCATGAGGGGCAGTGCAGCTGCTAACATTTCGGTTAAAAAGTGTGAGACAGGAGTAGGGTCAAAATGGTAAGTTAGACTTAAAACATTAAAGCAAATGTCAAAGATACTTACATATGTGAAGCATTTTAACTTATATAAATAAACCTCATAAGCATACGTACAAAGGTAGTAAAACTTCTGATGAAAAAATATAATGAGTACCACTGAAGGGTGTTAGAATGAAGAACTGAAAATACAAAAGAAGCTCTAGTCTTACTATCCCTTTCAAAAACTGATTCCAGGTTTGTTAACAGCCTAACAAAAGAAGTGCAGTATTTTCAAAGAGTTTTCTAAAACTGTTTCTTGTGTCTGAAGGAAATTGAGTAATTATTTTCTTGATTAATAAGCCTGATGATGTCCTCACAGCATAGGTATTTAATAGTTTACCCATGTATAAGTAATATGTCTATTAAAATGCTCTGATTGTGATTTTTTTCATGATAAATTTGAGTGAAAAAACATTATTATATGGCATTGTCTAATAAACTGTATAATAAATTAACTGAGATTTAAAGGCATTTTTAAATCATTCACTTAAGCATTTAAATTATAGTTACAGGCTAGATGACTTTCTATGCATGTGAACTCTATTATTCTGTCAGACTGACCAGTGGTCTTGACTGTGCAAAGGTCAGTGGTCACAGTTGTCCTGAATTACCAGTCCTTTTTTCATGTGGACCCTCTGCTGCGTTGCATGCTGTAATCTTCTTAATGGCTTCATTCCAATATTCACACATAATATTTTAGATTTATTGACTGTTAGAAATACTACCATGCCAGTAGCAGTTCCGCTACTCCTAAGGTATTTAAAATTGGAAAAATAAATCAGAGCAAGACTTTCAGGAATCCTTTGTTTTCTTAGAGGGGGGAAAAACCCTCTTTTTCCTCTCTTCTGACAAGAACACTTGTTTTTAAATTTTATCATTTCACTGTGAATTTGTCTATTATTTTTTAATTTAAAAAAATGAAAATAAGTAGCTACTTCTATGGGAGTAAATTTCCTAATACAATAATACTTAGATCACCACTTTAATAACATAAGACGTTAGACAAAGAACACTTGTGATGTATAGAAAGTAGCAGAGACCATAGAAACAAATTTATAAACTTTGGGCCTGATCCTGCAATACCTGCTTTCAGGTTACTCTGACAAAAAGACTACTTTGCTCAAATTTGAACACTTTCAAAAAAGGCTTGGAGAATCGAGGGCATCATTTTTAGCAACCAAGTCTTACTGACTTCTCCATAGACTAAGCAGAACTTTTATAAATATGATCTTCAGAAAACAATAGGCTTTATAGGTTTTTAGCATCTTTTGTGGTCGTTAAATATTGTTAACCGTAAAATCTACAGAGCTGTTGAAAGATGCGTAGCCTTTGTAGCATGTGGTGCCTACACACTATGATGCAATACAGAATCTAAATGGGTTTTTAGAGTTTTAGTTTTGAGATTCCTAAAGTCACAGGATTTTAACACCGTAAATTGGGCATATGAACATTACTGTTCTAAAAGTAGCATTTGAAAAGTAGGCTGTAATTCACGTAGAAAATTAAACAGTTACTTTATAAAACAATTACTGGGAGTGCAAATTATTTCTGAAAATACAATGATTAATAGTATTATAAAGAAGTTATGGTCAACATGTAACAGTGCAACTAAAAAGATTTTTTGTAAAATTTAAATATCATAATTTTTTATGTTTTCCCATCAGAAAATAGCCAAAAATATTACTAATATATTTTAGAAACTCAGAGCAGTCAACAGTGTTTGCAGTGTTATGAGGCAACTGTTTATTTTGAATAAATTCTTAGAGTTGAGAGTCTGTTGAACCTCAATATAGTTTTAGAAGTTAGAATGTGAGATTGAAAAGTACAACTAGTTTCGAAAACATTTGCATTTAAGTAGTTGTTTTCGTCTAAACGAGCATTTGTGATTAAATGCTGGAGGGCTGAGATGCCTAAATCCTGTGTGTGTAGATAGTATTAAATATGTAGAAGCCCTTTCATTAACAATATTGATTTAAATCATATCAGATTCCATTTCGTTGTAGGGTTTTTGGTTTGTTTCTCTTCTCTGCCATCTTCTCTCACTTCCTCGCTGTTGAGAGTGGGCTTACTTTCATAGTGACTTGATCGGATGGGGAACACCAAAAAATAGTTTAAAGCATAACAACTGTCACTGATACCAGAGAAATAACCTGGATATCTTTTTTTCAGAGTTCTGGTAGTCATTGGGAACGCCAGTGCGTGGTTCTGCATTTCTCAGGCGACAAATGTTTTGAATACTTCTATATGTGCTTAAATTTATATGCGTGCTTAAGTTTTTGCAGGAGCAAAGGCTTTCATTAATAGTTACATCATTTTATTAATTTATTTTTTAACTTTATGTGCAGTTTTATTCTTCTACTCACATGTACACTGAAGAGGTATTAGTCATGCTTTGTTTCTGATCAGATAGTTATATTTTAGGAATCTTAGAAAGGACATGGGGGACTATTTTAAAAAATAATGCTTTTTTTTTTTAATGACCAACACAGTATGTTTCTACATTTTAGATATACTTACTTACATCTGAAAGAAAAATCACCTATCAATCTCCTGACTTTCTAAATCTCTTAAAAACTCTTCTATTGATTTAAACCTTCCTGAAGCTCCGATTGCTCTTCATTGGTAGTGTTTAGCAGCCCAATGAAGTCACCTTCCTATGAGAAGCCGTTGCTAGGAGAAGATAAAACCAGTTTGCTTCTAGTGTAAATTAATAATACCATTTCTGAAATGGATCACTAGTGTCTTCCAGAAATAAATTTTAACAGCATTCTAACCCCTGTGGTTTGTTTGCAGTTCTTTATTTTTAAACTTTGTAAAAGGCCATTTCGGCTTAAGACATGCAAAGAAGGGGAGGAAAAAAGTTTGGCATCCTTAATCACAGATAGATGGATTAACGCTTATATGAGGAAAAGATTTTGATAAAGATGCTGCTTGGTATTTTTTTGGCTTGGTGCCAGAATTGTGTATTTTCTTTGAAATTTTAAGAGCTATTAATGATGTCACCCAAAGGGGTCTCACAGTTCCTTGGTTTAGGTTCATGGATCTAAGCAATCACAACCCTGCTGTGCACCAAGTCCTTCTAAGTAGTTCAAAGCACTCAGTCTCTTATCTGTACCTACTGTATTGACTGTAATAACTACTTTATCACGCTGTCTTTGATTAAACTGTGGAACTGGGAGACTTTGCCGGCAACCTACCCGAATGCGCAGCTTGGGTTTGCCGTCACTCGGTGGTGGGATAAGCCCTCAGAAAGCACTGTTCCTCTGCATGCATGTTTGCTGACCTCAGCTTGAAGGAAACCTAGGCAGGTCTCAAGGGCGCTTCAAGAGTGCTTCAGCCAGGACTCCGTTCGTGACGATTAGGAAATCAGGGTTGTGGCCCACATTATCTCTGCAGGCTTTTTAACAGCACTGTGCTCCTAGTACTTCTGCAGAGTAATCTAATACAGTTCTTCCTGCCTTTTAGCATAGCCTCCTGAGAGAAGCAGAAGTTGGAGGAGCTTTCTTTGAACTCCAGCATAGCCTTTTTGAGGCTAGAACTCCCTCCAGGATGGTAGCACAAAAAATGTGCATCTGACTTACACATTTTTGTGCTGGAGAACCCGCCTTGAAACTGCCAGCCCATTGGGATGTTCTTAATATTGTTGAACTAATAACATAGCAATACTGCAGTGAAGCAGGAGATTTGTTGCTTTCTATTGTTCTTTTTAACATGTTTTTGCCTAAAGCATCCTGTTTATCGATTCATGTTAGGGTACATAGGGCCTGCCAGAACTGAGAAAATCAGAAAACACCATTTTCCTTCACATCCCCCACTTTTGTCCTATGATTCCTCAGCTCTACATCATCTTTACCCCTTTATTCTCTGACCGTGTCTTATCGTCTGCCATTATTTCCCCAAACTCACAAACTATAATTTAGAAGAATGTAGATTTAAAAGAACGTAGAGAATTTTCTACCTTTTCCCTCCCTTATATTCAGAAGATGCTTTGTCTGTCATAACAGAGACAACATTTTACGGTTGACAGTTCTTTTTTTGACCTCATGTTACTGCTTTTGTTTTAGTGAAACTGAGCTAACGTTGATGGGCATGTTTCCCTTATACAAAGGATATATACATTTATTTCCCCCGGAATTAAATAAACCTTATTTTTAGTTACTTTAAAATAATCATACAGTACAGAACAAAAGAAAAAAAATAAAACAAAAGCATGCGTTTATTTTTTCCACCTTGAACTGCTTAACTGTTTTTTGTACTCAGACTTGTACTTTTTTTTTTTTTTCTTTTGAGGAAAAACCGTAAATGAGCCTTGGTGTATGCTTTCCATGGGCTAAACGAATCAGGCTCTCAACTTTTATCTAGATCTATGGAGCTTGGCTATAAACTGAAAAGATCACAGCTATGGGGAAAAGACCTATACTGTAAAGGCCTTTCTGCATAGATTATGAACATCATAACTCAATAATTTTTTTTTCAAAACTATAGTTATAATTGGACCCAATGGGGGTCCCTCTCTTTGATCAGATCACAGTAACTGTGACTTTACACTGGAAAATGTCACTACTGTGAAGGTTTATCACCTGTAGAGCTGGTCTTTTCTCTGATGCCATGTTCAGTTCTCATTAGCATTATTCAAAGTTTAGTTGTTAATTACCTTGACACTTCAATTACAATCATCATCTACAAGAGCAGTCGGGACTGCTTGCATAAAGAAACAAAATTATACTCATTCTTGCATCTATTTCTATAAGAATGAAAGCTGTTTTGGTGATAGTGTGTTTATAATGTTCTGTTTAAAGGGTAACCCTAAATGTTACTTTGTATAGTTTTTAGTGACTTAAATATTGCTTTATTTGGTATATTGCAATACAAAGGGATGTAGAAACATGTATTCAACATAATTGGAGTTGGCTTACTTCTCCACATATCCCTCATGTTGAAAATTAGGAGACTATAGGCTATAACTGGGTGTAATTCTACATATCTTTAAAGAATACTGTAATAATTCCATAATTATATGATTTTTCTCCAAACTATCTCCAAGTAAGGGTCATCTAAATTAGTATTTCTAATTTTTCCAATTCTATATAATCCGTGACTGCTATTTGCCAAGTAAGAAAAGACCTCCTTCAAAAAAAAAAAAAAAAAAGGCAAGCTCTAAAATAAGTATGGTATCACTGAATTTACTCAGACTTTTCTCAACTATTTGACAGTGGTAGCAGCTACTCCCATGGTGCATGAGAAATGATGTAAGATAGTAATTTGATAAAAAAAAAAAAAAAAAAAATCCCTAAAACTGAATAGTAAGTGACCATTGAGTCCTTAAAAATAAGCCTTCATAGCATAAATAAAAAATATCCAACTGTCTTCATTCAAAACAAGTAAGTACATGTCGTGACTGAGAGAAAAAAAACCTGCAGAAAAGTGGCTCACATGCAGTTTACTGTAAAATAATTAAGCTTATTTATGTCAAGAGGCCTTGGGAAAAAAAGAGAGCATAAACCAATTTGCATTAGCACTCTACCATCATCCCCTGCTTTCATTTCAATTAACAGACCAGCAGGTGCTCTTTGCAGTTAAAAAGATAAGCTATCAAGGAGGAGGATGAATTTTTGGCTGACCTGTAGACACCATGGTTTGCCTGCTGATTGGGTTCATACCTCTCTGTACCAATTTCTGAGGTGTTAATTTAACTCTTCCACTCTGTCGTGCAGGTCTCGGCCTTGAAAAATAAACTGAAAAAGCAGTCTACAGCTACGGGTGATGGAGTAGCCAAGGCCTTTCTTCGGGCACAGGCAGCACTGTTTGGATCCTACAGAGATGCACTAAGATACAAACCAGTAAGGCTGCTTCTTTACTTTTTTTCCTTAATTTATAAGAGCACAGTCTCATTCTTTGCAAGGAAAATATGGAATGTTTTATCCCAGTCTGAAACATTTCAAAGGAAATATTTTAAATCTTACTCTGTGCTAAGGATACATTGGCAATATAGAAGGCACTACCACCTCCTGACGGTGAGTTGTACTGAAAAATAAATACTCATCTAAAGTCAGCTATTTTCTTATTTGTATTGCTTTTATGATTTATTTCATATAAAATCAGATCGTATTAATGAAGCTACTTACACACAGCTTACCTGGTTTAATGCGGTGAGCAACTGAAGAGGCTGTGCCTTTCAGACTCCATCATTTTTCACTGTACAGGTCCAGAGACTTTGCTGTGTTTGAGGCCAGAAGCTTTTTATTTCCTAGGAGAAGCCAGATATGAGTCAAACATGCATCTCTTCTATTATACACTTATCTTGATTCCACTGAGAAGTTAGGAGAAATGGAAACCCATTTCATCCCATCAGAACTTCAGAATTTGTATTTCTGACGTTTTACTGGTACTCAGTAGATTAATGTGTTATGGGCTTTCATCCTTTCTGGTTTATGAGAGTGGCACATACTTGAGCCTATTAGAGATAAAATCATTTATCAGAAACAACTTAGAGATTCATTTCATCTGTCAGTCCAGATTCTTCTCCTATGATAGTTGCAAACTATTGATAGTAGTTCCATTTGATAAAATGCATTGAGACGACATTGGCTGAATCAGATTCCAAGGGTCTGATGTTTGGCAGGAGAAAATCATCCTTGCTTGAGGTGTCAAGTTTGTAAAACTGGTGGGTGTGTGGGTGCATGTTTGTTTGGGGGTGAGGAGAGTGGTGTATTCTGTTGGTGGGTAAGGGACTATGTGGTATTCCTTGATGGAAATGGATAGGATAATTATTAATCTCAGATGAGGCCTTTTCCTGGAGGAAACATTAAAATCTAGTATGGCAGGGTCTTCCTTCTACCCAAGTGGTTCTCTTACAGGTAGTCTTTTTTGCCGTGAGCATTTTACACACTGGCTGTCTGTGCCACTGACAGCATTTGTTACTGAGATGAGAAGTAACCCATGCAGAAATGAAGTAATGTTTAAGGGTTTAGTTCAAGTATTTGTGTTTAGCAGTCATTATAGTTTTCTTATGATATGGAAAGCCAGTTTGCACACTGTATTGAAATGACTGTACCTGTTTTCAAAATTGCTACAGATAGCTGTCATTTATTCCATAAGTGACATTACCTGACATTGCTTCAGGAGGGGTTATCTAATTTGTCCCTTAGTCTAAAGGTGAGGACACTGGTCTGTGTCAACTCATGGCAGCTTGCAGTAAGAGCTGTTAAGTCAAAAAGCGTCTTAATCTACATTCGATATATGCAAACAGAATGATGTCAGTCTGGTTGATGTCCTTACCTCTGTTCTGACCAGAAATAGGCTCCAGTCAGTCCTTTGTTTTGGTAAGTTTGTTGAACTGAATGTGCAAGTTCTTTAGCATTCTGGTTAGCATCTCTGTTGAAATGAGCTCTCCTTTTAACTGATTTCCATTTTATTTCAGTTTATCTGTTGGCATATCTGAGATATCTACATTTGCACTGTATTAGAAGTAGTGCACCATGCGTCATTTCAACTGGCAAACATTTGTCAAAGTGACCTTTGCAGTCTTTCTTTCTGCATTATTTTCTTTTGCATGGTGGGTTTGGTTTTTTTTTTTTGGCTCCACTGATTGCATATAAGAGAAGATATTTATGAAACCATTGTGGCCTGATGGTTTTTTTTTTTTTAAAGATATGTTATTTCAGAATATCTTAACAGGCAGAAGTCTGCTGGCAAATACCAGCATATCTTGGATTGGCATCAACTTGTCCAAAGACACAGCGTATTAAAAAAAAAAAAAAAGGTAACTTGTTTTTT